TCTTACGTTAGCATCCCCAGCGTGTTAATCACCACATTGGGCGGATGGATCTATCCCATTACAAAACTTGAGTATATCTGGGGACTTGGGGTATAGTAGCATCACTGAGATATGAAGTCGATACGTGGTTCTATTACACATCATCATAAACTTCTTCTTTATTTGTATATCTACACATATTAGAGTAGCTCTCTGCTACTCCCTCTTTTTCTAAATCCTCTCCTCTACCTCCCTGTCCACTATCTCTTGTCACTCCTTTTCACCTCCTCTCCGCATCTTCCCTCGTCCTTGCCTCTCTCTCTCTCTCCTCTCTCCCTCTGCTCACTCTCTCTCCTCTCCTCTCTTCTCATCGCAAACTGGGGCGTCGGTCTATCTCATCTCTCTCTCTCTTTGGCGTACGAGCAGAAATATCGAACTCTCGTCATCTCGTCTCGGGTACTAATCTCCATCTCTCTCTCTCTCTCCCTCCTCCGCTCGCCTCCCTCACCTCCCTCCCTCCCTACCTCCGCCCCTTCCTCTTCTTCCAATCTCAATACCCTGTCAGCTCCCAGTCACATTCCGCTGACTTCGTCCCTCGCCACCTCTCTTCTACTCTCTGTCTCTCGTCGCTTCTCTCTCCTTCCCCTCCCACCTCCTCCCTGCCGCGTGCCTTCGCGTCACACCTACCCTCCCATCTCCCTGGCCTCCCTTATCTCTCCGCCTCAGTCGGTACGCATTCGCCTCTTCTCTCCCTCTCTCTCTCCTCTCTCTCTCTTCTCTTCTACTCTCCCTCTCTCTCTCCTCTCTCTCTCCCCTATTGCGCCATCTCTCTCTCCCTCTCTCTCTCCCTCTTCTCTCTCCCATACCCAATCTTTTCTTAATATATATCTTCTCTTTTTTTCTTCTCACTTTCTCTACTATTGAATCTCTGCTCGTCAAATTACTCCGCATCACGGTTCTTCCTCCCATCTCTGCGTGGTTACTCCTGGCTACGCCTACAGTCGGGCATTCTCACCCGGTCCCCCTTTTTTTCTATACTTTACTTGAAGCAGTACAAATGCATTGCCACCGGATCCGAGATTTTCCATGGCGTCAATCGTATCCTCTGGTGTACGGTTCACATTGCGCTAGCGAGGATCACGGCTTCTTCTTCTCGCCTCTCTTTTTTATCATCCTGTACAATGATTCGATCTTCCCCGTCACCTCTCTTCTCGGTGCTCCCTTCTCCTCTCCATGGCTCGTGGTCATCGGTAACCGGAGTCGAGGATCTCCCACTCATCGCTTTTTATCTCTATTATGATAAAATGATACCATCCCTCTCCGGTTCCTTTCCTCATCACCTCCCTATGTCGGCTGTGGTCACTTGCCCTCTCGGCTGCTAGCGCATGGTCGGACCTTCCACATCGCGTTTTCTTCTTACTCCATCTGATCAAATGGGTCACTAGCACCTGGCTTCTTCACCTCCTACTGGCTGGCTGGGGTAACTCTTCGTACTGCCTCGCTTCTCTCGCGACTCTCTCTCTCTCAGCCCAAGTCTCTCTGCTCATCGTCTCACTCGTCCGCTTTTTTTTTTAATTCATCCTCGCGATACAATTCGTATCTTTTCACCTCCCTCGTCTTTCCCCTCTCGGTGCTTTTCTTTCCTTCGCACCTCTCTCTCTCGGCGTCGTGTATTGGCGTAGCCATCTTCTCATCTCCATGCTCTCGTCTCTCTGGAAAGTCACGCATTTCGATACAGAGTGAGCTATTTCACCCTGCAGTTTTAGTTGTACACATGAGGCTAAAACTCGTCACTGGCGCAGGAAGGCGGTGTACTCCAACCGTTGAGGAAGTCGTTGCGGACTGTGGTAGATGGTGCGGGAGTGTTGTGTTAACCAATGAATCAAATCCACCCGACAATTCCTCTCATCACTTTCCGTCTTGACAGTCTTTGTTCCTATTGGAAATTCTCCCAGCCCAGCTGCAAGGATAGATGGGAGCGGGTGTTTGGGTCAGGAGGGTCAGAAAAAAAATTGTCTTTCCAACTTATAGGGAGAACGGGGAATTTGTAACATGGTCAAGGCAGAGGTCAAAAGAAGGAAGAGAGGAGGGATAAAAAGTAGCAGTTTCCAGTGTGGGTACTAACAGATTCGAAGGCTTTTTTTAATATGATAAGACCTAAGGAAAGAATTTAATATACATTGCAGTTGGAAAGGGAAAACCAGAAAAAGAAAAACCACCTCCACAGCTTTCTAACGATACCACATCTCATCAAAACATACTAATTCATTCAGGGAGGAATCAGAAAAAATACTCATGATTGGGCCAAATATGAAAACATTAGAAGAGTCAAAGGGAATCAGAGACAACACCAATGTGCCTAAACACAGGGCCACTTTTGCACTTAAAACTGCGGTGCAACGGAGAAAGAAACAACTATGCGCAGGTATTGCTGTGCAGTTTATTTTACTCATACCCCTCCATCTATGGCAACCATATAATTACTGGGGCCCCACCATGGGGCACCCACCACATTGGGCAGAACCTGAATTCATAGGATTGGCAGTTTCAATAAACATTAATTATGTACACTGCGGAACTTTTGTATTAGTGACTCGATCTTGGCTGATATAACAACGCATAAATATATACACACTCTGTTATTCTTACAAACGACTCTCTTTGAACTGTTTATGTGAAGCGTGATATATGTTATCTCTTCTCATCTTCAATCGAATGTTAAATAACTCCTGGCTAAATCTCTAGTTACATCCTTAAAACATTTTAGTTATATACAATTTCCATATCTATAATTGTTAGCAAGATACATGACAAACAATTTACAATGCATATATACAACAAAATCCCAATCTTAATCATAACAAATTACAGTTCCTGCTTAAAAAGAAAATATGGAAGGCAACCCTTTCTGAACCAACTTTTCATCAAAGTTCATTATCAATTTAATGTGAGAAAGATGAGAGTCCCTCCTTCGACATTCTCCTCCCCCGGCAAAGCAAATTCCAGAGAAGTCTGATGTACTCTTATCTCATTGACGAGTAGCAGACGCCATCCGGGGAAGCACTTAGAAAGGTCGACGGTAGACCCGGGCAGTTTTCTTGCCGAACAAGAGAAAGGCTCATCGAAGAAATCTAGGTCTGTTTTGTTAGGATCCCGTCCGCATAGCATTTCTGGGACCTCGCTGGATGATTATTCCTATATTGTCTCACCCCTACTCTCTTGAAGGCTTGCTTTCAGGTATACAATAGCGTGAGAAACACTTTGTTCACAGTACTTTTGTAAATTAGGCCTCAATCTTCTACCTGTGGTACCGCAATCCTTGAAGGTTCCTCACAAGACGCTCGTGGTTCTTGGATGCACTTGGCCAGGTTGCGACACTTCAAAAGGAGGACAGATTTGGGGGCCTGAGTCAATTTAGCTCCCTTATAGTCCAATAAATAAAATATATATTCAATTCCCTGTAGTAAATGTGCGGTTGAGGGGGGCGCGGAGAGAGGGAGAGGGGTGAGGGGGATTAGGATAAGCACCTCTGATATAATTTATAACCAATAATGTCCAAAATAATAATTAATTGGAAAATATATCTTATACAATATTTATTTGAAGAAATGTGGATTCAGAGTACGTCGTACGAGAGGAGAGAGAGAGTCTAGACGAGCCAGAGTATGAGAGAGAGATGAGCAGAGAGAGAGAGAGAGAGAGAGAGAGAGAGTAGAGAGAGAGAGAGAGAGAGAGAAGACATGCAGAGAGAGAGAGCTAAGGTGAGGTGAGTGTAGATGTGAGCTGAGTGACTGAGTGAGGTGAGTGACTGAGTGAGAAAGAGTCTTCTCCGCCGTCCTCAGAAGATAGAAAGAGAGAGAGATGAGAGAATGAGAATGAGAGAAGCAGAGAGTAATGAGATGAGAATGAGAATGAGATGGAGAGAGAAGAGAGCAGAGAGAGAGAGAGAGAGAGAGACGAGAGAGAGAGAGGGAGAGAGGCAGAGAGAGAGGGAGAGAGAAGAGAGAGAGAGTAGAGAGATGAGATAAGAGGAGC